TGCGATTACGAGGTGTCGAAGGGATCAGGCATCAAAGATCAAAAAATCAAATCATGTTGAGTGATGGGGAGTGCAGAGTGGAGACCCTTTGTTTCAGATATGATATATAATGGTGCCTTGCTCCTCTGGCCCAGGCCCCAGCCACATCTCGCTCTACATCCGAACTCACCAGGGCTCGGCGCTCACCCAGTGGTCCCTCGGCAGCGGCACCCCGGTCACCAGCAAAGGCGGGGACTACTTTGTCTTTTATTCCCATGGACTCCAGGCCTCCGCATGGCAGTTCTGGATCGAAGTGCAGGTGGGCGCGCCCCGTCAGGCCCTGGGTGGTTTGGCATTGTGACTTCAGGGGCTGAAGGTGCTAACTTGGGCCTCTTCTCTCTGCCAGGTCACTGAAGAGCAGCCGGGAGGAATGGTTACTGTGGCCTTGGCCGCCCACTACTTATCTGGGGAAGACAAACGATCCCCCCCGCTGGATGCGCTGAAGGACAAGTTCCCTGACTGGACGTTTCCCTCTGCCTGGGTGTGCACCTATGACCTCTTTGTATTCTAACCTGTGGACAGTCCCCCGTGCCGCCTGCCTCCCCCACCAAGTGCCCTGGGAGCTGTGCAGGTGACACTTGGGCCGGGGGATGCCGTGGGCAGAGGGATTCATGCACAGCCTTGTGACACTTGAAACTGCCAGGGCTCTGGCACTGAAGCACACGTGGGTACTACAGCCCGACACCATTGTACACAGCTAGGGACAGACCCCTGCCAGCCACTCTGATAACTCCTCTCAGGATCATCAAAGGCATACAAGGTACAGTCATGTCCGGCAAGTAGTGGGAGGATACGTCCCCAGGGCCGGGGGTCCCTGAACCTGACCTCTGAGGGGTTGGAGGGACGGTCATTGCTGAGCGGCTGCACTGAGAGGACCGTGTCTTTGTCGAAGGCCACTAGCTGGGTCCCCACAGACTTCCACCACACTCCTGCCCTGGGATTTCTCTGCTGGTTCCCCCTTCCCCAGAATGGCCTCTGGGCATCATGCTTGTCCTGGGCAGGATGCCGAGGGGGCCAGACCAGAGAAGACAGGGCACATTCTGGGCCTTGACTTACTTCGCACTGGACTGAGTTCTGGCAGCTGAGCAGACCGGTGTTTGGGGAGCTCCCTGTCCGTCCCGCTGGCCCTCCTGAGCCTGGGCTGTCTTGACTGTGATCAGCGTCCCTGCAGAGGTGGGGTGAGGTGGAGCAGCAGCCCCAGGACTAGGACAAATGGAGAACAGTGGACGAAGCACACGCCCAAGAAAGTCAGTGTTGAAAACAAGAAGTGGGCTGGTTGGCTCCAGGTGATCTCAGGCAAGAGGCCTGCGTCCTGGGGGCTGCTTGACACCCCCCCACCCCCGCCCCCGGGGCACACTGCACGCTGTCTCAGACCACTCCCATTAATCCCCCCCCCCCAATGGCCCCAGGCCAACAGCAGCCCAAGTGGCTGCAGGAACAGGAGCCCTGGCTTTTCCCGGACTCTCCGCCTCCCAGGCCCGGCTCCTGCTGGGTGGGTCTTCGTCTGTCCGGAGAGATGAAGGGTTTGCAGGGTCACCCTGACTATAAAACCCAGTTGTGGAGAATCAGTCTCACAATGTGTTTCCAGTGCGTTTCTGAATGTGAGCATTATTTTTGTCCCTGAGGTCCCTGTGAAGGAGGATGACTAGAAATTATCTAGGAGGGAAAAAACAATCTCAGATGCCAAGGACCCTTTACAGGACCCCCACACACATACACGCTCACCTGTTTCAGAAATAGTCATGGTTGTCTGTGCCTTGGGGCTGCCGTCCTGCCCATGCAAACTGCCCTCTCTCCCTCTCAGCTTCGGGATGCTGCTCCTGGGCTCGGGCAGGAACGGTCACTTGGCAACGAGACAGACACTTGCACTCTGTAGAGAGCCCTTGCTTCTTCGGGTCAGGAGCCTGCAGTAGGGGTGGGATGGTGAAGACCCTGTAAAGTTTTCTAAAGGGCATCTACTCGTTGGATCTTCAGGTCGGGACATTGTTTCCCACAGAATATGAGTGTCACTAGCACCATCTTATAGTTGGGGCCAAGGAAGTCCACTGCGGGCCAGTCCCCAGTCACTGCTGCCCGAGGCCCCTCCGTGTCCAGTGTAGCTGGTGCCGAGAGCACCAGGCCACCCACCCACACACACAGCAGCCAGAGAGGGAGGAGAGGTGATGTCTGCCACCCTCGCCGCCACCTCTGGTCTGCAGACTGCTGTGTGGTTGCCTTACAATGTTACTGCAGTTCCCCTCCTTGTTCCTGTCCCTGGAGTGCCAGGGCCCACAGCCTTGAAAAGCCTTACAACTGCTGCCAGAGGAGCCGGCCCACCGCTACTTTAATTGGTGACAGGAGCTAGGACCCCCACGTGAACGGAATCCCCTTCCTTTTGGAAGGAAACGCATGCCAGTCGTAAGGTGAACCTGCCCCACATCCGTCCTGCAGGCAGAGAGCACAGGCCTGCCCTGGGGGAGGGGAGGTCAGAAGAAGAAATGAATGGCCCTTCAGCCAGAAGGGGCCTGCGTAGTATTTTAATCTCCGTGAGAGGAAACGCACTTAGTCTCCCATGTGTAGGCGCTTTGGGCATGTGATGTGGTGGTCTGAGGCCCTTGTGACATCCCGTGTCCCCAGCACAGCTGGGGCGCGCTCATGCCTCTGTGCCTGCCTGTTTCCTCCGAGGTGTTTGGGGCATTCTGAGTGCATCTATGCGTGTTCTGCTGATGCGACACTTCCTTACTTGGTTTGCCTAAAAATACATAACGTTGGTAATTCCTGTCTCCAAGTCTGCCTCTCTCAAACCGCCACATTCGACTGGTGGTTCCCATCCACTTTGTTTTCGAGAAGTGAGCCTTGGCCTGTGGGGTGTGGGGGGCATTTTACTGGGAGGAGCAAGCCAAACCGACCCACTGCCATCCAGGGGATTCCGACTCCTAGCAACCCCGGGGTTTCTGAGATGATGGCTCTCATGGAAGCAGAAAGCCTCATCTCCTCAGGTGGTTTAGAGCTGTTGACCCTGCAGTTTGAAGCCTAGCGGGTCATCCCCATGGCGCCACCAGGGCTCAGGATGAATGCAGGCACAAATGTGATCAACAAAGCACTTGACACACAGAACCCATCCCTCAGCACCCTTTCACAAAGAAAACACTCCACAAGTTGAGCATAGAAAGCACATCCTGAGCCTGAGCTAAGGCATCATGAGAAACCCACAGCCGACATCCACTCAGTGGGGAGAAGGAAAGCTTCCCCTGCAGGTGAGGAACGAGGTCAGGCTGCCCTCCCTCTGCGTGGACTCGGTGTTCCTGGAGGCTCTGGTCCCAGCAGGTGAGCAAGGAACGGAAGTAAACAGGAGCTGCAGGCAACCTGACCTCACAGATAAGTCCTGAGGAATCACACAGCCCAGCACCACTCATCAGCCCCCCAGCACTGCAGGATGCAGTAATTGTTTCTGTACACGGCACAGCAAAAACAATTCCACTGACCATTAGCATCCAAAAAAACCCCACAAATAATACTTTGCTTCCAAGGTGGGAATTGAGAAGCTGACCCGTAAAATCCATCCGGATATGACAAAATAATTTATAAACTATCAAGGGCTCATGAGGGAAGAGGGAGGGAAAAAATGAGGACCTAATGCTGGGGGTTTAAGTGGAGAGAAAATGTTTTTGAGAATGATGAGGGCAATGAATGTACAAATGCGCTTTACACAATTCATGTATGTATGGATTGTGATAAGATTTGTATGAGTCCCTAATAAAATGATTTAAAAATAAAATAAAATTTCTGAACCTGAAAAAAAAAAAATCACCTGGGGGAGTCTCAGAAAAATGGCAGCCCGATAGGACTCACCCGTCCGGAGCTCCTGCAGTCAGACTAGAAAATTGGGAGGTAAGGTGAAGGAAACGGGGAGGTGGATTCCGGAAATTAGTACTAGGGTGTCTCCTGAACCCCTTTATTGTGTGTGATTTCCACTCACAAAGCAAACCAAGAACACTTAAAGCCCTCTAGCTTTGGCGAGCCTGCATGTAATAGCTGCGCCCTTTCCGGGAGCAGCGGTTTCTCCAGGCTGATGCCATAAAGGTGACAGAATCCCAGACAGGAGGAACCCCACGCAGGAGTTCTCCACGCTGTTGGCTGCCTTGATCTCACAGCCTGGGGTGTGGTGGTGGCAGGGAGCCATAATTTAGAGGAAGAAGCAGAGTGTTACCTGAAGTAGATCACGGTGTGGGAGAAAATAGGCGGATAGAATTCAGGGAGCAAAATTAATTCCAATTGGCTGAGAAGGAAACAACCCCCCTGATAAGCTAGATCTCCCCCTCTGGGGAACAGCCTGACAGCTCCCAAATCAGAGCACATCACAAGCATAAAAAAAAAGGAAATATATTATTGGTTAATAACTCAAACCACAGTCCGGTTTCTCAGCTCCAAAGAGCACATAGGCAGGGTCCCTTAACAAATTAGCATAAGAAAACCTAGCTAAGGAATGCCAGAACTCAGCTAGAGGGCCTGGTGGATTTTTGCATAACAAAGACCCGCTGTTGTAAGCATCAGTTTCAAACAGCAGGGACTTTGGGAGACAAGTTAATTTGATTTTAGTCTAGCTGGCCAGGGGGATAGAAAACAAAAAATAAAACCCTCTGATCTAGTAGGACACCAGCAGCCTAGATAGGACAACAAGCCCCGCTTCCCTCTCAGTGATTCTACACATAGTTGGGGACACCCCGCCCCCGCCCCTGCTGCAGTGCTACATTTAGCACAAGGCAGGCATACCAGTAAACTCCAGAGCTCAATGGACGCCTGGTCACAGGTGCGATCCTGCCTTTGAAAGTAATCCCACAAAGCATCCGTGGAACCATACGTAAAATAGGTACAGCACCCCGCTACCTAGAGGAAGAGTTGGAACTCCTCTAGCCTCACGGACAGGTGATCAAGCCTCAGTTACCACCTTACCTACTACTGTATTTCTTCCCTCTTCATTCACTAGCATTTCTATCCTTCTACCGCAGTCAGTCTCAACAAGCTGGGGTTCTTTTTTCTCTCTTCTCTCCCACTCTCTCCTATCATAAGCCACTACTGGCTTCCAGATCACTACCCTCTGCTTAGGGCAAACCAACCCAAATAGCAGGAGGAAAGCCAGTCCGCCCTCCGTGGGAGTGCTGAACACCACACAAGGCAGCTGGGACAAACATCTACATCGCACTGCGCTGCTGAGGAAACTTCTGTCAGACCTCTAGGTGAGCTCGTCAACTAGGGCAATTCTGCCAAGCACCACTGGTCCCTGCATTAAAAGGGCACACCAACCTGCCATTGTGTGGCAGGGACCAAATCTTTTTGACCTCACATACAAGTAATCAGGGATCAGCATGTCTATTCTTTATTTCCTCCTCCTCGCTCTCCTCCCTCTTTACCATCACAGCCAATCTTCGTGAACACAGTGGGGTTTATTCCCCTTCTCCTTTTTCTCTTTCTTTGTTCGCTTCTCCCTCACATTCCATTTACATGCCACTGCTGATTCCCAGACCCCTACACTCTGCCTAGGGCAACCCTGTCCTCCCAGTGGGCAGCCTGACCCCAAAGACAGTGCAGCACACAGGACGAGTCAGTGCTACACACAGCACAGCACGGGGTCAGCTATTTATCAATTTTGTCAGTTCTGTCTCATTCCTTTTTATTTGTGTTCTTTCACTTTTTTTCTTTTCTTCTTGTTCTAACTCTTCTCTCTTTCCTACCACAGCCTCAGCAGATGCAGTTCTTTTTTTTACCGTTTTCACTTTTGTTCACTCTGTGCATTCTAGCTGAGTGTCAGTTTGCTAGACATTGTTGCTCCAGTCTGTCTTCCTCTTTCTTTTTCCTCTCCTTTCACTCTCTTTCCTGTCACAAGCCAATAGCGGCCTCCAAGCCACTCCCCTCTGCCTAGGGCAACTCTGAGGCCCAAGTGGGGAGCTCCCACCCGCATTTATAGGCTTGGCAAGCAGCTGGGGAATTCAAGCCAGTCCTCTTCCACACATCAAGCAGCATGTGTTCTACACTACAAAAAGTGGGGGCATCCCCAGCCTAAATACCGAGACCCTACAAGTGACTGGGGGAAATGTCTGGCCACCACTGGTGGGACTCCACACTACTGTGGGAACTTCCACCCAAATCTCCAAGGTGATCTCTCTGTCTACAGTAATCCCCCTACCAGCTACAGAGGTCTACACCAAGGTGGGTATACCCACATGCCCTCCTCAGCACTCCAGTTGCAGAGGAAAACACCACAGGCCAGCCGAGGTGCTCTAAGAACCGTGAAGCCTACTTAGAGATCGGCCAGGGAAGCAAAGCCCTTGTGGGCCCACAACAACCCAACCAGTGTCACATGAGAGGAATATCCAACACACATTCCAAGTAATGGAATACCGGATGGCC